TCCCACTCTTTCTTTGCTGATGTGTCTCTGTCTCCTATTCATGCCAGCACCACGGATGAGATTAGAGATTTACCCAGTCACTTGCTGAGTGAATTCACTTTTTATAGACGCATTCTTCTCGACTGCCCAACACATTGACATCCACTTTCCGTAGAAATCCAGTGAGATTCTTTACTGCCAGTCAATCAGGCCTGAAAATGCCTGTGTCTGGTGACAGTTTCATTTCTCAGTTTTTGGGAGACGCTGCACCCTACTTGATCGCAAACACTTCTGGCAGTTGACTCAGAGTTACAGTAAATGTCGGAATTTAACCACAGACACACAAGAGGGAGGGAGGGAGGGAGGGAAAAACCTGGGCAAAAGCCGGGCCATCCTTTGAACCACACGCAGGCTGGCAGCTTAGACTCATCCTACCCCACATGGGTAATAGCTAATTATAGCCCACTGAGACTCAGCAGAAATTAATTAATGTGTGTCCACTGAAATCTACTATCTGCTGTGAAACGTGTGCAGATATTTAGAAGTAAATATGTTCTCCAGGGTAGAATACTTGTGTATGATAAGCTTCCAAGAATCATTCACTCTGTTTTCCTGACTTCCTTGACAAATGAAGTTTTAAATCTTTTGACGTATGCCTATGGAAATTTGGCTGACATTCTGTATCCCAACATGAAGCTAACTTCCCTCTCCAAGGAGTATTCTCGGCTCTAGCTCTTAGTATTCTGGTCTATGCCACAGACTCCATTTTTATCATGACTAGCACAATACTATCTACTCTGTTGACGACTTAAACTTACTGCACTCTAACAGACCTCTTAAACTAGGCTGATCTGTTGGCCCTGCTGACCTCGTCAACTTATTCCTTATGGTGATATATTGCCTTTTATTTACTTATTTTTTTAATTTCCATCCCTTCCACATTCCCTTTTCCCCATCTGTCTTTCTCCTTGTTTTTCCTGTTCATTTAATCACAAGTATCTAATCACAGGAATCGGGATCTGTACTGCTGGCATGGCGGGTGATCTGTTGGGCTGCTAACCACCAAGTCACGACTTCAAAACCACCGGATGCTCCAAGAGAAAGATGGGGCTTCCTCTCCCCATACAGAGATACCGTCTCAGAAACCCATAGGAGCAGTTCTCCCCCGTCCTATCAGGTCGCTGAGTCAAAATTGACTAGATGGCAGTGAGTTAGGATGTTTGTTGTTTATTGAGAGCCGAGGATATCAAAGTAAGCACGCATCTTAAAGAACAAATTCCATTTTAATGAAAGAGCCTCAGATAAACACTGAGTTTTAAAATGTTTTTAAATATGATTTCTCTATAGTTTGTGTTTTTGATAAACACTTAGATTATTTTGGTCATTTTGCTTTGTTTTTTCCTATGTTTCAGCACTGGTATATTTGCAAAGTATTTTCCTTATCAGCAGCCATTCGACAGACTTGAGTAATAAAAGTCAAAATAGAATTTCTATATAAAGTATATACTCATGTATAAGCCATTTTTTCAGCACAATTTTAATGCAGTTTTTGTGGTAAAATTAGGTATCTCGGCTGATATTCGGGTCAGCTTATATTCAAGTATATAGGGTATTTAAAGACTGTACCAGCACTAACGTTATTCCCCACTATACAACTCCCTACCCCACGTTATTTTGAGGGTGGTGAGGGTCTCTTGTCACTTGTGCTGGATGGGTGGCTAAGGAGAAGGCACCGTTTCTTCCTGGGGCAGCCCAGCCATTTTAGAGCATTGGCTGAAATGTGCATTGTGCAAAGAGAATGGAGAGGCAAACCATATCAGAAATAGTTTTTATTAGAATTCTCATTGAAAATAATACAGAGAAACAGTAAATATGAATATAGGTCAACAGCCAGTGTTAAGACAGTTCTAGCAAAAAGAAAACATTCAGAAAATAGTACAATACAGGCCAAGAGTTGACATTAAAATCCATTCAATTGAAAAAAAATAAACTACTGGCCCAACCTAGGTATTTATGTCACATTTGAAATAATCTTGACGAAGTCTTTTTTCTTTGCTGAATGGTGCTTGCTGCTTGGATCCAAGAATATTTAGACTAACATCTGAAGGAAGAGGAGGGAATAGGCAGGGGAGAGAAAGAGGGAAAGGAGAAAAACTAGTACTTCATGAGTGTTTTTTTAAAAAAACAAGCTAAATATTTTATTAGGTACTGTATATATTTCTTCATTTCATCCTCATAACAGCCCTGTAAGGTAGGTTTGATTCATATCCATTTTAAATATAAGGTAAGACACTCACAGAGCTTACATGATTTGCCCCATGTCAAATAATTTTAAATAGCAGGGAACGTAGAACCCAACTCCACTCTGAAGCCCTCCTTTCCTCGAACACCCAGGTGGTTTCTCTATTACCCCTGAGAGGACTTGCGGCTCTGAGGAGTTGTTGATCTGTAGCCCATCCAAAGAATACCTTTATTTATTTATTTGTGAAGCTTGGGAGTAGAGAAATCTGGACCACAATTCCAAGAGGGCAATTCTGATTTGGCTATTTCTTCTTTGTTTCAGAAGAAAGACCACACAGTTGGAGAAAGAAGGCATAGGAGGACTGAATGGTTCCTACCAGACTGGTGAGCTGTTAATAGTTCCCCTAGAGCATATTTGTTAATAGAAAACAGAGAAAAAAAATGTATGATAAACAGAAATTCCCCAACCCAAATGCATGTGTAAATCAATGATTACAAAGATGAATCAACTCTTGCGACCTACATTCCTTATCTGTCAAAACCAAAGGATAAAGAAACTCACAGAAACACCAAGCAAGTAGCAGAGCTATACACCAAGTCATTTCCATCACAGTCACATGTCCACACGCTAACGTGTTCTATACTGATGGCCCCTTCTTAGTTGATGATTTTTCACAATGTATTTCATGGCTTCCATCCCTACATGAGACTTTATTACTATCACATAGGAATAAAAAGCCATAAAGCACTAGAGTGAGTTTATCTTGGTCGGATGCAAAACTTATTTTCTTCACACGACTTCACAACCTAACCAACACCAACCAATCATTTCATGCTACATGGAGGAACATGTCAAAGGACACATAAGTGACAGGAAGCACGCGTAAGGTGACAGCACAAACTAGCCACGTTGTATCCTTCAACGACATTCTGAACTACAAGGACCAGGAAACGAGAGTAGGAGACACTCAGCCACATCAACCATTGAAGTCACCAGAAACAAAGGACACTGGGGGAAACTCCTGGGAGAAAGCTCAGCACTTTGACGTGCAACTTGGAAACACAGAAGGAAAGACAAGAGACAGACAAATCACTGGCACAAACTGAAGCCGGGGAGGTTTCAAGCCTCCTGCTTTCTCGTCTCGCTTCTTTCCCAGGAAGGGTTCTTACATTCCCATTGCCAGCTTGTGCGCATTTTATTGGAGGACAGACAGGGGTGGGGCAGGTCTGTTTGCACTGTGTAAACATTCAGCCTTTTGTCTATAAGTAACACAAAGGAAAACTAGAGAGAGAGCGAACACTAAGAGACCACAAGTGCTTACTGCTCATGCTACATGCCCTCAAAAAAAGCTAACGCCATCCCTCCGCCCACATCTACAAAAACAGATGATCTCGGCCCGAAACAATGCTACACATGGAGATCTTTCCATAACATTAAAAAAAAAAAAAAATCAGGCCCAGTATCCAAGAACATGTTTAATGTCAAATTAAATTTACACGGCTCTTGGTATCATCAATACACTTGAAAGTGGCCACGCTGAAGGCCATTTATCCAGGATCACTGAAAACTCATTGCCATAAGTTACCCTGATTTTTCTGGTTAGGGTCTTTTGATAATAATACTTGGGGTACATGTTCTCCAATTTCTAAAGTATTTAGCACTGCCTTCCCCTTTGAAAGAGAATGTATCATTCACATTCAAGTAAAAGAAACAAGACTTGAGATACTTATTAGGAGTAATGTCTAGGCAAGCTATTTCTTCAGAAAGGCTACTGGGATTATAATGAAATCTTGATTTATGGGAATTGCAAAGGGAAGACTGGAAAGAGTTAAATGAAAGGAAGTGCATACATAAATCCAATTATCATGCATGAAACATGCAAATGACTTAAGCACTGCATCTGAAACTCTAGTTTATATTCATTAATCTCAGGTTGCACTTTTGAAGGAGAAAGACATGCTAATTGGGTCCAGATTAATGCACTCCCAAACCTCTCCAATTTGTTTTTAGGCGAGGGTTAAATGATATGTATTAAAATAAACACAGCTGCTCACCTGCCTCTACTTTCCATCTCCCCAACTCCACCTCTCCCCCCACCTCCAGCTGCCTCAACACCCTTCCTACACCTCTTCCTTCATTCAGGAAGGAATGGAAGAGCCCTAACCTTGTCATTGGCAAGAATAACCTTGTTCCGCAGCTGTTTCGGTCCTTTTCCTTTCGCCCCGTCACAGAACCGCAGAAAGAGGCTCGGCTACATCAGATCCTGCAACGTGAGGATGTCGGCGGGACATGTACAAATGGGAGAGCAGCTGCGTGCCCTCTGGGATGCTGTATTCCCTGTCTAGGGCCTGATGTCATTTGACCAGTACTGTGAGGTCACTTCAGAATGTCTAGTCACACTTTTGCTTGGGAAAAGAGAGACTCAACAGGGAGCCTGGGCATTTTTGCTGCTGTTCCTCCCGAGTGGCTCTACTGGGCCATCAGAGACTGACACAGAGCAGGGGCCACTCATAAAGGACCGCTTGCTTCCTTTCTCCCTCCTTTCTTGAAATTATCCTTACTTGAAGAACAGTCAAGTATTTGCTTTTATCCAGAGACATGCTTTTGGGCATAAAAGAGTAACTTTTTTTTAAAGGATGAATCTTATCTTGTGAGTAATGAGGTTTGGAAATTTAAAAAAATGTCTTTTCTTGGCATCAATCTTTAGACAAAGGAAGAGGAACTGAGAAGAACACGGACCTAGAGTCGGGATAGGAAGACTCTTCGCCGGAAAAGCAATCATGAGGGAGTTAAACCAGAAAGAGGGAAAGAAAAAGGAGAGGAGAGACCTTTAAACTCGTTTCACACAGAAAATGTTGTTTAATTTGAATCATGCTTTTCCCAAAGGAAAAAGTTAGCCTTGTCATAGACCCCCCTTCCCCTCCCTTGTTATAAATGGAAAACTTATGATGGGGCACATTCTTCTTCTTTGTTTGCTAGTCCAAAATTCAAATGAAATTCAGCCCACGTCTGAAATTCCATACGCTGGACAAGGCTCCCACACTGGGATCACACCAGAGACAAGAACAAGGGCATGTACATAGACGAGACAGAAATTGCCAGACAGGAACGCACAGGGATACACACAAAGACATACAGCTCTTAACAGTCACTGGCTCGAGGAGAGCCCTTCCACGGAAATTGATCATGGCACATTAGCAAATGGAAAATTAGCAAGAATAAATAACAACGCGGACGACATGGATATTAAATCTGTCCACATCCTGATACATTCTCTGCACACTCTTTAGTTAGGAAATGCACTTAGGATAGCCATCGCTCCTACAAGAGAAAATGATTATACGCTAACCAAACCCTAAGTACAAGCTAAAGATATTCACCTCATGAAGCCATTCCTCAACTAGCCCCTTGGCACTTGCTGGAATTATTCGCAGCACGAGCTCTCCTTTCTCATTTTCTGCTGACTCCGTGTGGGTAATTTCTTTCTCATGATTAAAAGTGAGCTTGGCAGATCCTTCAAAGCGTGGCTTTAGGTGTGGTGGGGGCCCCAAGTGCCTCCTTTGTTTAAGTCAGGTTTCGAAGAATTCATCAATGCATGGGCAGTGTCAGGGGGGCAGTCATCGACCTAAAATGATTTTTTTAAGGTACATTTACTGATATCTTTATATAACCATATTTTATAGTGAAACATGCAGCTGACGGATGAAATGAACTGTTTACCTTAGAAAGAACAGGCAGGCTTTTTCTCTTCCAAATAATCACTCCGACCTGAATGTCATCCAAAAGCGATTCTGCCTCCTTCGACTTATCCAGCATCTGAGGCTGGGAGATAACCCTCAGAGCACTGGCCTCCATCCCTGGCCCCTTCATTATTTGCCTCCTGGTGGGCGAGATAGAATACAGTCAATGTAATAACCGTACTTCACACAACAGGCTCGCTCTCTCTTTTAAATTGAAAATCCCCTTATTACAAAACAAGGGGTGTTCTTTTTCTCCTACCTTTAAGTAGGACTGCCACATTCATTGCTTTTTTACAAAAACGCAGCTGCTTTTTAAGCTACAGATAAATAGAATCTGCTAGGCAGTAATTCGACTCAGTCTGAATGCATTATTTTCTAAGACACTTTGGCGCGAGGGGCTTTTTGTTATAAACTGGAATGAGCAAGGAAAGTCCCTTTCTCTTCTAATTATGAATGTGTTTTATTCTCTACGATTAACTGACAATGTCAGATTGATCTTCTTCTGCTGCTGCAGCCATTCAATAAATCAACCTTTTTTTTCCCTCCCCTGGAAAATTAGAGGGCTTATGGTTAAGTCTTCATGAACGCCAATGATAAAAATAAAAATAACCTAAGACCCATGCAAATGCTGCAACCATAAACAAAGACCATGAACCCCCACCACCTCTGATGTCGAAAGTGATGCATTCTGTTTAGAAGCTAAAAAGAGAGAGATACACTTATTTCATGGGCTCACTCAAAGTGATTTAATTTTAATAACATGAAGACGTCCTGGGCATTGTTATAAAGCTGATCTGTGATATATTTATGTAGGCAGATATGATAAAACATTAATGTTTCTAAAGAGAGTGTCAAAATCTCATGATAGTTGTTTACTTGTCCGGTAGTCTAAGAGGGGGTCATTTTTTCAATCATTTCCTCAATGCCTGAGGCAAGGAAATGAAGACTTAAGACAAGAGGTGGGACCACTGTGATCAAGCTTTCTCTAGTTTAAGCTTCTGCGGGCATCGCTTTAACACCAAAGATAAACACTGCAAAGAAAACTGGTGAGCTCCTAAAAATTTCTAAAGGCAGTCTGGAAATTCCATCAGTCCAGGTATGGGTTTAACGTGTATCCCAATGTTGTTATTTCTGGCTCTCATATGGCGTCCTAGGTCTCTAGGGATGCGCTGCCTTGCCCAGGGCAGGGAGTCCCACCGGGTATCAGCAAGGCTCCAAATAAGGAAAAATACAGACTGCTACAGTGGTGACAGTAAGGAGAGGCTACCGGTATACCCCAGGCACACAGGCAGATGCCCCTCGACTGAAAGTACGGACACAGAGTGGATTGCTCTCCTGCCCCTTCCTTCCGACAGTCATGGAAAGCCACGTGTTGAGGATGGACCATGGGCGTGGCCAGTAGTTCCAGAATAGTATATCATTTTACCGCTGTTTCTGTTTCTATTCTTTTGAGGTTATTTCCAACACGGATAAGAGTGGGGATCCATCAAGCCTTGTGCAAAGCACAAAGAAAGAACTTTGTCCTGAAAGAACAAGGATAGTCAAGATAAGTCCTCCGGCCCCTCCCAAGCTCTAGGAGTAAACCAGAACAGCAAACCCACGGCCACTGGGTGGAGAGTGGCTCGAGGTGACCCTGCAGGACAGAGTAGAAATGCTGTTGTGAGTTTCTGAGACTTTAGTGGGAATAAAAAGCCAGGTCTTTCACCTGAGGAGCAGCTGGTGTGAGGCACAGCCCGGTCCCTAACCGTGATGCCTCACCAGGACTCCTGAGCTATAGGGGAGGGAGACCTTGATATCATATTCACCTCTGAAACCATGATGCCTTTCCGGGGGTGCATTCAAAAACATTGAGAATTTCATTTCAAGTGAGATGCAGACCTAGTTTCAGAACACTCACGGTGCAAAGACAGCTGAGGAGAGGCCAGAAAGGATAGCTGCTAGGGGTCATTTCAAATAAAATGTTTCTGATGTGCAGATGGATTCTCTCAGTTAGACCCTGGTCTTCCTCTCGTTGGGAGGCTTTCAAAAAGAATGTCCAACTGAAACAGTGCCTTTTCAGGGGATCCGCTGCGCCCGCTCCATTCGAAACAAAGAGATCGATTCAACGGTTTATGGGAGGGATTTCCAAAAGGAAAATCTTGACACATTTTATCAAAGGACACCGAAGAATCAAGAATCACAGGGGCTTAATATGAAATTTTAAGAAAACTGAAAACTACATTGGTGAGAAAAAGGCCAGAAACGTTGCAAGGAGAAATTTTGTTCTCCACCTTGACTATAAACCAGCTCCTTTGTTTTGTTTTTTTGGGTTTTTTGGCGGGGTGGTGGGGGTGGGGTGGTGTTTGGTGTAGCAAGAACTGTCCCTTGAGAATTCCATTGTGAATTCTTACCCTGTCCACCTCACAGCCCCATCCTGCCCCATTTTAGTCTTCTTTAGTCCCAATACTCAGGAGTAGTTTAAAACAACACAATTTGAGTTGAAGGATGCCAAAACTGTGGTTTTCATGCCGCATCCATCAAGCCCCAGAGATTTCTTTGGGGAAAGTTTGGAGAGAAGGTCACCTTCAGAAGTGCATGGATCTAGATGGAAGGTGTGCTACAAAAAAATAGCATCATAGTTTGATATTTTGGGTTCGTAGAAGCTTCTGGAATTTGTAGCAATACTGTTTGATTTACCCTTACATATGCCGTGAATACTGGCAATGAAGCTGTTGAGCTTCGATCACTCTCCTTACTTTTGAATCCCTGCTCTGCCTTCTGATAGGCCTAGGGAGGCCTGAGGTCTCATGTGGCTTTGGAATGAGGAGCCCAGGGATGCTATGGTAACACAAGAAGCCCATTATACCTGGAATAAATAACCAAGCCCCTTCCCTGAGAAACAAATTGCAGTATATTGAGCATTGATTTCAGAGTGAAATTGAATCCCTATGCAACCATATCTTCACTGAGCTAATGCCACAATTACAAGTCTGCATTGGCCATCAAAACTGTTTATGCTGGTTATATCGATATTCTGAGGCAAATGGAAGAAAAGGCCTTAGCTAGTGATTTAAAGGTATCTGATTACCTAGGAATCCTGAATGAGAAACATATAATTTTCCATGAAGCATGGGTTTCACTAGGTGAGCATCTAACATATACTCGGAAACACCTACTTCCCCGACTCTATTCTTTCTTCTTGTTAACCCTGGAAAAGTATTGGCACAGCCAAAAGATTGATTAGGCAAAATTCAATGTGGGCTTGTAATGACATCGTAGAATCACCATCCTCTGCCACCTGTGTTATTATTTTCAGGTAACACAAAAAGAATGTGATAACATCATATACCAGCCAGAAACCCTTAGCTCCTATCCCACTTGTGCAATAATTCAATAAGTAGTCCTACTGTTAGCAGCTGGAATGACGGACCAGAAACAAAGCTGTGTTGCCAGGTATAGCTTACCTAACAAGCGCGAGAAGCACAGTCTTAATTATGCTTACTGACTAATCTGTAGTGAACAGCTTCACAGGGGTTATGCTATATCAGAAATTATAAGCAAGCACCAGTAAGCCTGTGCTTACCTTGTTTACTGATTGTTCCATCCCTGTTAGGAACTGCAAGTTTGAAAAGATGCTTTGATTCTGTAGGGAGGTGCTGTGGAGTTGGGAGAGACACGAATCTTGGATGCCGTGAACCAAAAAAACAAAAAAGCAAAGATATTCATGGCAAAATTTGTAACTAAACACAAGAAAGCCAGTGCTGGCCTTGCTTATTGGGTCATCTGACACTGGGGGCTGCAGGTGGCCTCAGAGGACAGCACCCTAACAACCTAACAAACAGGCCTCATTCCATTTTCTTTGAGAAAAGAGAAAGAGAAAGGAAATGAGAAGGAGGAGAAAGGGGGAAAGTGAAAAATCCAATGAGTTCAACATGTAAAGACTGGGGTCCTCAAATAATGCCCCTGTAACTGACTAACAAACTCAGTTCTTAACTTCTCTAAAGCTACACTTTCCCGGTGTCCAACAAGGATATTGGCATCTCTCTCACTGGGCTCCTGAGGAGATTAAGTGAGGCTACTTATGTTATCATGTGTGATACCCCAGGTCAATGGCACTTACTCACAAGGAACAGCTGACTCACAGCCTGCTCGTGAAGCTTCTCCTTGCTCTTGTGCCTTCCTATCTGAAAGTTCTTGGTTAATAACCCAACTGTTCCTAAAACCAGAAGATCACCCAGCAGAGCAAAATAACCCAAATACAAATAGGTCGCAGCACTACTTCCTTTCTTTTCCCTACTTGTCACAGAAGGCTTGGGCACTGATTGATTCTACCTCCACGTCCTGGGAGATAGGAAGAGGATTTCTTAAAAAGGCACTCACTGTAATGCTTACCTTCTTGGCTGAAAGGGTTCATGACTATAACTTAGCATTCAATTTACTAAGGGGTGATTCACGGCCATAGGGGGAAACTGAGATCCATTTGGCTTTGGAATCCCAATTCAAGTTATAATCCACCCTCATACATGGACAATGTCCTGTCGTACATGGACAGGTCCACAGAGCAAATACACACCCACCTGGCATTAACAAGCTCTCAGGAACACAATTGCTCAGTTTTCGCACAAGACATGCTTTAATTACCTCACCTGAAAAATCTTCACACTTCCACACCTGGTGATAAAAAAACACTAAGAGAAGATTGGGTAAACTTGATTTTGCAAATTTGCCCAAACACCCCCATTAATACATGGTCGCTCACCCTACACAGACTGTGATTTTTACATCAAGCTGGATTGGATTTCAAATGACAAATTAGAAGCTTTGAAAAAACAACAAATATTCTTGGACATATACATTTTGATCTCCTTTTTACACAAGCCATGTTCCAAATGTCTAGTAGGAAAATTAAATTATAGTATGAAGGTGAACTTTGATATAAATCTACTCATTTCAGAGAAAAATGCATTGCTGTTAATTAAAAAAAAAAATCTACTCCTTCCCCAGTTCTATTTTAATGGATAATGGTATTTGAAATGATCTAATGTGTACAAAGCCAAATAGCTTATGATGATCAAAAATGACAATAAGTGTGCTGGCAAACACAGGCTCTTAATAAGCAACTCCAAAAAGATTTTCTTCTCCTAGGAGTTGTTAGTCCCCGAATGTCTTCTAAGCCAGAAAGAGATTCGGAGTGTCACTGGAGCTTCCAGGAGCTCACAGGACCTTCCACATGCAATTAGTCAGTTCTAATAGTACCTCCAGAAGGCAATGCCCAAGGTAAAAGGATGGAGCAATGAAGAAGAGTATGCCACGGACTTGGGCACGTTCAAAAAATGAGGAAACACCTGTATCTGGCCAGAATCACATTTGGCAAGGATATGCTCCAAATATGAAAAGACAAGCTTGTGACTCCTTGTGCAGACTTGCCAGCATCCAACACTTCGTGAGGTCAAGAAACATATCCTCAACTTCTGTTTCCTGTTCTCTTTCAGGGAACTTGGTGAAGAACGGGGCCACTCAGCCGCCTTGTTCCACATCACACGTGGATGGCTCCCTTCCTGGCTGGGTGAAGACAGCCATTGCCTTTAGACTCACAGGGTGGGGGTATCAATGTAACACAACAAGAAATGCATAGATTTTTTTTGCCACTTTAATATTCCACAGTGAACAAGTGATAGAATTAAGTGGGGACAGGACCCCCCCCCCCAACCCAAAAACCTTTTATTGAATGAAGACTACTGCAGCAGAAATCACGCAGGTATAAACATCTCTGTGTGAGATGTCAGACAGAGAGAAATATTCTAAAAGCTAATGAGAGTCAGCAAGAGAGCTTCTCAAAGAAACATAACTTCTTAGATTCCTGGGCTGTTACGTTGTTTTTTCAAGGGGGTGCAGTAAGTGGAGAGTTGTTATGGTTATAGGTTCCACAGTGTGATCCTTTAGCAAAACCTGAGACTTCAGGGGGGAAAAGATGAGATGCATGGATTCCCATGCTGAATGGAAGCCAAGGCCAAGATGCACACAATAGATAAAGTTGGAGCTTTGGAGGAACTAAATTTGAAGCCAGCCAGTAAAACGGATTCAACCTTATTACTTCTAGTCACTGAGAAATTCCCAAGACAGTTGGGTGCAATTTGAAAAGGTCAGAAAAATATTTCCTGCACAGCACTATTGCTTCATGGTTTAAAGGTGTACATTTGTGAGATGCTGGCTCTAATCATTTTTATTGACTTTGCTTTCCAGAGACAGACAGACAGTCTGGGAGGCAAGACCAAGAGATAAGAGAGAGGCGATCTGTTAAATGAAAATCTCTTTTCTTCTCTCACTTGTGACTGCAAACAATTTCAAATCTTTCCCATTTAGCAAGAGGACACACTAACAGCACGGAAGATTGAAAGATGGGCACAAAATCTAGAAACGTAGCCCTCGAATTCTAGTGAGGTTATTTTCTTCCCACAGCTAGTTATTTAGCCTCTACTATACAACACTAGACAGTGTAAAATGTCGGTGATGTTGTACTTTAATCCAAGTGTGAATGTTTAAAACGAAACACCAGATAACGCACTAGGCTATGGGCATTTCTTTATAAGCATTCCTGGGGGGTTGGGGGGGGCGGGGAGGGGGCAGGGATGGAAACAAATGATTCCTACAGAAACATTTTGAAGCTACAGTTTGAATGAAGACTGTACTGTCATTAGAGCCATTCCAACTACAAAGAGATGTTTAGTTTCAATGGAACTTTTGTGCAGTTAGCACATGCATTTGTGGGTCATTTCAATTAATGTTTCCTATTTTCAGCATGCAATTACAAATCAAAGCTGACTATGGAATGACATTAGCCATTCCAGCTCTGCGGAGGTTCAATTAATATCTGACTCTTCTTTCCGTGAGAAGCAATGCTTTTCAGAGCCATACACAAGCCGATTTATTTGTTTAGCAGCAAGGCTGCTGCTGTTGGCCGCCATTGAGTTGGCCATGAATCATGACCTTTTATAACAGAATGAAATGGTGCCCTGGCCATCTTCAAGATCATCGGTATTGTGGCTACTAGGCCCACCCATCTCACTGCAGGGCTCTCTCATTTTCACCGATCCTCTAATTTACCAAACATGATCATTATTTCCAGTGGTTGGTATAACCCTCACAGCTACTATAAAAATGAAGCAAATGTCATTGTTTCTCTTACCATCACCCATAAGAAGAATGGGGCACAGGAAGGGCAAGAGGCTCCCTCAACTGGTAAGCAGAGATGCTGGGAGTCAAGCTCAGGGTTGTTCGATTCCCATCCCGATTGCTTCACAGCTGTGTGCTAGACCCTGCTTTGTGAGCTCTACAGAACCCAGGAAGGCAGCTCCTCCCAGATTAATCAGCATTCCTAGAGCTACGACCAATCAAAGTTCACTGTGTGTATTGACCCACCTGCAGATCCTATAAGACCAGCGAAACAATCAATACCAGTTAACATCACATGCCTCACCTAAGAGATGTGGTTCCAGTCATGATCCAAATGTTTGGCCAGTATGGCCGACAAATAATGTTATAAACATCTAAATGGCCCTTGGAAGAAACAGAAGTTCCCCATCCCTGGTATAAACTGAGCCAGATCCCCCCAGATCCACAAACTGTTAGCCACTTTAAGGCACTACAGCTAACAGGTTTTGCTAGAAATCTTTCCCGTCTGCAGAGAACTTAGATCAATTAGGAGAAGACATCATAGCAGCCTTGGCAATTGGGCTGCCTGGTTCACTTGCTCTAATACATGTGAGCCCAACTGCACACAAAATGAGTTTCTGTTGAAATTATCTTTTAATTCGCCCTAGAGAAGAGAAAGTGTCTTCTTGGGCGAGGGTGAGCTCATATGTGTTAATTCAATGACTCCATCTCCAACAGCGTTGAAGAGGGAACTGTGTAGCTCTTTTGTTATTACACCAGGCCCATAGGCATCAAAAGGATGATAAGGATGGGTTGCCAGGGTTGAGCGCATCACCTGCTGCAGTCCTTTTGTTTCAATCAGATTTGAAACAGGGAAGTCGGGTTTCTAAAATATAATTTTAATGTGGTTATCATGAGTTACCACTGCAAAAGTTCCAAACCAGGGGTAACTGAAGTATGACAGACCTAAACATTGGATGATGGTGGTTGGCATGATTGTCGATTCTCTGAATGACTATCCTTTATCCTCAGCCAGTTACCAAATGTAGTCTTATCCATGGCTGTTCCTATGTAAAAAGAGGTTATGGCTTCAAGCATTGATATGCAGGTTAGCAGGGCTGGCATGTGTTCTTCAGGTACCTGTCTTCCTCTAACTTTTGCAGGCTCGCTCTGATCTCCTGTCTGGACAGGAGCCCAGCCTGCTTGTTAGGTCACCTTTCCGAAGGAGAACCTTCTCTTCCTTCCAGCCCTGAAAGGGAACTGTGCGATTGACAAAGTGATCTTGGAGCGTGAGAGCTGTGAAGATGAGCAAGAGGAGAAAGAGCAGTAGCTGGGATGCACCTCTGACAGCTTGAAGGTTTTGTCAGCAGTATAAAGGGGAAAGCGCTTAAACAATAGAAATGGCAGATACAGCCACTGAGAAGTAGAGAGAGGAATGGGTGAGAGAAGAGGAGGCCAGCTCACAAATCACTTCCATCGAGTTGATTCTGACTCTTCGCAACCCCCCGAGACAGAGGGGGAACTGCCCCTGTTGGATTCTGAGATGGCAGCTCTTTACAGGAATAGAAAGCCTGGGGT